AAAACCTTGTAAAGCGTGCCAAAAATTGTTTTGACATTTAACAAGAGGAAAAAGGACCATTAAAAAAAAAGTGGGGCAGGTAGGTGGCACAGTGGATAGAGCAGAAGCCCTGGAGTCAGGGGGACCTGAGTTCAAATCTGGCCTCAGACACATAACTAGCTGTATGACTCTGGGCAAGTCACTTAACCCCATTGCCTCACCCAAAAAAAAAAAAAAGAAAAGAAAATCTCCCTCTCCACTCTTAGTTTTGCTCATTGATTTTTCTCCATGTGTTCCTGGTAAGGTTTCTTGCTCCTAATTGTAAGTAGGGTCACCAATATCAAAACTGAAATCCAGCCATAACACATCCATTAAGAAGCAATCTGCTCTAGTCTTGAAGTATCAGCCAAGATGGCCAAATGCCAGTAGGTTGGCAAGATTCCATTGTAAACAAATGAAAGCTTGTTGTTGCTGTTTTCTGACTCTGAGGGCAGCTAAGTGCCCCAGTGGATAGAGTTCCAGGCCAGGAGTCAGGAAGATGAGTTCAAATCTGGCCTCAGACACTTACTAGCTGTGTGACCTTAGGCAAGTTACTTAATCTCTGTTTCAGTTTCCTCAAGCATAATATGGAGATTATAAAAGCACCTATCTCCTAGGATCAAACAAGATAATATTTATAAAGCACTTAACACAGTACCTAACACATAGTAAACAATATATAAATGTTAGTTATTCCTATTATTATTATTGAAGGAAGTATAAGTCTGAGAAAAATGATAATTAATAACCAATTTGGGGACAGCCAGAGTTCTCTCCCTTTTTCTAAAGTCCTCATTTCATGGCTCAACAAGAGAGTACTGATGATAGCAGATAGGATTAGCATTCTCCTCAATCTAGGTATTGTTACCCCACCCAACCTTTTAAATATATTTCAATAACTTCATTTGAATATAATTGACTCCCTTTGTAATCTTAAATATTTTGTTTTAAGCATTTAAAAATATTGTTCTAAGAAGAGATCCAGTTCACCAGATTGCCAAAGGGATCCATTACACACAAAAGGTTAAGAACCTTTGCCTTAAGATATCAGAATCTGAATGGATCTTTATTCATTCACTGTGACTGTCCCTCTCAGAGGATCAGATGACTTCATATATGGGAATGTGCTTCCTAAGAATATGAAGTGGTGAGGAATGCAGAGCTAGTTCAATATTAGGAAAACTATTAGCATAATTGACCATATCAATAACTAAACCAACAGAAATCATATAATTATCTCAATAGTTGCAGAAAAACTTTTGACAAAATACAGCGTTCATTCCTATTAAAAACACTAGAAAGCATAGGAATAAATGGAGCTTTCCTTAAAATGATAAATCATATTTATCCTATTAAAAACACTAGAAAGCATAGGAATAAATGGAGCTTTCCTTAAAATGATAAATTGTGTCTATCTAAAACCATTAGCAAGCATTATCTGTAATGGGGATAAGCTAGAAACCTTCTCAATAAGATTAGGGGTGAAACAAGGATGCCCATTGTCACCACTCTTATTCAGTATTGTACTAGAAATTTTAGCTTTAGCAGTAAGAGAAGAAAAAGTAATTGAAGGAATTAGAATAGGCAATGAGGAGACAAAACTATCACTCTTTAGAGATGATATGATAGTATACTTAGAGAATTCTAGAGAATCAACCAAAAAACTGCTTAATATAATTAAACAACTTTAGCAAAGTCACAAGATATAAAATAAACCCACAAAAATCATTAGCATTTCTATATGTAAACAACAAAGCTTGGTAGCAACAGATAAAAAGAGAAATTCCATTTAAAATAACTGTGGATGACACAAAACATTTGGGAGTCTATTTGCCAAGTCAAACCCAAGAACTATGTGAACACAATTAGAAAACACTTTTCACCAAATAAAGTCACATCTAAACAATTGGAAAAATATCAATTGCTCATGGGTAGGTTGAGCTAATGTAATAAAAACTACAATTCTACCTCAATTAATTTACTTATTCAGTGTCATACCAATCAAACTACCAAAAATATTTTATAGTGAGAAAAAATAACAACAAAATTCATTGGAAGAACAAAAGGTCAACAATATCAAGGGAATTAATGAAAAAAAATACAAAGGAAGGTGGCCTAGCTGTACCAGATCTAAAACTATATTATAAAGCAACAATTATCATAACTATTTGTTACTGGCTAAGAAATGGAGTGGTGGATCAGTGGAATAGGTGAGGTATACAAGATACGATAGTAAATAACCATAGTAATCTACTCTTGGATAAACCCAAAGACCCCAGCTTCTGGGATAAGAACTCACTATTTGACAAAAACTGCTAGGAAGACTGGAAAATTGCATGGCACAAACTGGGCATAGACCAACATTTCACAGCACATACCAAGATAAGGTAAAAATAGGTACATGATTTAGACATAAAGGGTGATACTATAAGTGAATTAGGAGAGTAAGGAATAGTTTACCTGTCAGATCTTGGAGAAGGGAAGAATTTATGACCAAGTAAGAGATAGAGAACATTATGAAATGCAAAATGGATAATTCTGACTACATTAAATTAAAAAGTTTTTGTACAAACAAAACCAACACAACCAAGATTAGAAGGAAATTAGAAAGATGGGAAACAATTTTTATAGCAAGTGTTTCTGTTAAAGGCCTCATTTTCTCAAATATATAGAGAACTGAGTCAAATTTATAAGAATACAAGTCATTCCTCAATTGAGAAATGGTCAAAGGATATGAATAGGCAGTTTTCAGATGAAGAAATCAGATATCTATGGGCATACGAAGAAATGCTCTAAATTACTTTTGATTAGAAAAACACAAATTAAAACAATTCTGAGGTGCCACTTCACATCTATCAGATTGGCTAATATAACAGAAAAGGAAAATGATAAATGTTGGAGGGGATGTGATAAAATTGAGACACTGATGCTTTATTGGTGGAGTTGTAAACTGATCCAACCATTCTTGTGAGTAATTTGGAATTATGCCCAAAGGGCAATCAAACTGTGCATACCCTTTGTTCCAGCAATACCACTGCTAGGTTTGTACCCCAAAGAGAACATAAAAAAGGGAAGAGAATCTACATGTACAAAATTATTTATAGTAGCTCTTTTTGTGGTGGCAAAGAATTCAAAATTGAGGGAATGCTCATCAATTGGGGAGTGGCTGAACAAGTTGTGGTATATGTAATGGAATAGTATTGTGTTATAAAAAATGATGAGCAGGTGGATTTCAGAAAAATCTGGAAAGACACTTAAATTAATGCTGGATGAAGTAAGCAGAACCAGGAGAATATTGTACACATTAACAGTAACACTGTGTGATGATCAACTAAGAATGGCTTAGCTCTTCTCAGCAATACAATTATGCAAGACAATTCCAAAAGACTCATGATGGAAAATGCTATCTATGTCCAGAGAAAGAACTATGGAGTCTGAATGTAGATTGCAGCATACTATTTTCGTTTTTTTGTTGTTTTTTTGTCTTTTGTGGGTTTTCCTTTTTGTTCTGTTTCTTCTTTCACAACATGACTATTGTGGAAATATGTTTCCATGATTGTACATATATAACCTATATCAGATTGCTTGCTATCTTGGGGAGAGGGAAGAAAATTTGGAACTTAAAATTTTATAAAAATGAATGTTGAAAACTACCTTTACATGTAATTGGAAAAAATAAAATACTATTTATAAAAATAAAAAAGAATATGATGTGGTGTACAAATGTATGAGGTAGTTGTTATTATGACAACCTTGAAGAATGACATAGGAAAGTGAGTGGAGTACTATGAGGAAGGAAAGCAACCAGTGTACATGTGAGACAGGGAGCAGGAAAAATGTGGGTAAAGATAAGTTCTTGGACCATTGGGGAAACAATTCCAGGCAAAAGAGTTTCAGGAAAATTTTTCTTTATTGAGAGTCAAGTCCTGTAGCTTGAAACTGCCCTGATGTATGTATATGTATACACACATATATATATATACAAATACATATGTGTGAGTATACATATCAAGATGTCCCATCTTGCCCCATTCTCATTCCTTTCCCCAGCCTCCAGACCCAATAGCAGGAACCTATGGAAAAAAAGTGGAGAGGTTTGGGTTAGTGAATTGTGAGTAATATTAGGCATCACCTGTGTGACAAGGTAAACAGAAGGGACAAGGGACAAATTGTCCAGAAAGTCTTCTCTCTCTCTGTCTCTGTCTCTTGGTGTATATTTCCTCTCTCTCTCTCTCTCTCTCTCTCTCTCTCTCTCTCTCTCTCTCTCCCCCACACACACACAGAGCAAAAGGTGGGACTTTATTTCTCCCCTTTCCCATTCCCATTCCCTGCTCCTTGGCTATCTTTGAATGACCCTTTTCCTTCCCCCTAAAGACTGCCCTAGCTACCTATTTTCACCTAAATAATGAGGCTAGAGGGAAGATGTGAGATGTTTACTAACTTTGCTGAGACTCCTTTTTCAGAGGGACCTCCTTGGTTGGATAACTGACCTTCCCCCATGGAGGACTTGTCTTGACACCATTTTAGGGAGGAAAGTCTTCTTTCTGTCTCTGGATGGAGCAGTGAGAACACAGCACCAAGAAGTCAAAATGTCTGTTCAGGTAGAAGTCCCCATAGGGAGGTGTTGACAGACCAGAAAGCAGATCCTTGTTGCCTTATGCAATTTTTTAGTCTTTCCTCAGATGCACAAAATACCAGGGCTGCAATGCAGAAAACGAAAGAGACCAGTATTACTGTGCAGAGAGATGGCAAGCACGTGAACTTAGTTAACCATGGTGCCCCTGTACAAGTCCACCGACCGTCTTGTCCAAAAGTGATCATATGAAAGATGAGGCTCCACAAGTCAAATACTGTTTGAAAAAATAAAATAAAATAAGGATCCCAGAGCCCACCTGCTCCAGACACTCTACCAGTCCTTTCTTTGCTCTGCCAAAGAAGTCATCCCAGACGCACTGATTCCCTCTAGGTGCTCTGTAGAAAGATTACAAGGTGTTGGTCTCTATTGGGTGGTTCTTGTTTAAAGCACTAGGCTTGTTCCTCTGACTGTCAGTCCCATCTTTGGAATTGCCCTGAAAAAAGAACCTTGGTATCCATAAAAACAAAAGAATTTTTTTGTATTCCTTCCAAAAATTCTGGTTGAGAAGACCATATATAATGGCATTCAAGCAGCTGTTGAAATAGGCCAGGAAATAGCTGGTGGCAAGCAGTCCATCAGGGACCCGGGGAGCCATGTCCAAAGGGTTAATGGCCACAGCAAGACCTATGAAGTTCAGTGGAGCCCAGCAAATGGCAAAGATCACAAAAACCACAAACATGGTGAGGAAGTTCCTGACCTCACTTGGTTTCAGCCTGGGCTTCATTGTCAACTTGACCCTTCTCTTGGACTGAATCACCAGCACCCAGATCCACAGGTAGCAATAAGTGACAATCATGATAGGCACAAGGAAATGGATCACCACCACCACAATGGTGTAGTAGGTACTAGCTGTCTGATTAAATGTGCAAGAATAGATGCGGGGGTCATATTTTAAGGACCCCACAAAGAAGTTGGGCACCAGGGCAATGACAGTGAAGACCCAGATAAGGCAGATATAGAGGACAGTGTTCCAGGCCCGTAGATCCTTTTGTAGCCAAGGCTGTGGCAGATACAGCAGTACCTATTGATAGCAATTGCAGTGATGTTGAAGACAGAGCCAATGACACTGAGGCCCATCACAAATCCACTGGCTTTGCAGTGTATCTCTCCCAAGGCCCAGCCATTGTGGAGAATGGCCATCAGGATCAGGGGGTAGGGGTACAAGGCATCCACCAGGTCTGCCAAAGCTAGATTCACCAAGAACATATTACCTAAGGTAGGAGACAAAAGAGGTAACAATCATTTGAGACTGCATCTATAATAAATGCATGTGGTACTTAGCTGGCAAATCAGTGATTAACCCTGCTCCCCACCCCAAACACATCAGGCACTTAAGGTTATGTTCTATAACCAAAGCATTTGCTCATTCATTCAAAAATATATATCCTCAAGTCCTGTATTGAACCTGACACTTAGTTTCTTTGCTGTTCTCTCCACTTTGGGTCTAAGAAATTCCCATAAAAGCATTTACTTTTGCCTGAATTGCACAAACTACTTTCTGCTTCCATTTACCTTTAGGGGTAGGGATAGGGACTGCACTTGTGGTGTCATTGGTATAGGAAACTCCCAGATGAAGAAACTCTCTCTACCAAGGTAGGTTGGAAACTTTTCTGCAACTAATGATCTTGGAGAATTGCCTAGAGTGCTGAGTGGTTAAGGGACTTGCCTAGGGTCTCAACAGTATATCAGAGGTAGGGCATACTGATTCAGAGGAGCCATATATCATGCTGACTGATCATAAATGACCATAAATGGTGATAGTGGGGCTGGGATTGGCAAGGAATAGTGAAAGGAGAAGATGGGGCAGGAGGAGAAGGAAAAGAAAAAAGGAAAGAGGAACTATAGGGTATTTGAACGGGATGGGACATTAGGAATCATCTAATTCAACTCCGTCATTTTATATAGGGGGAAATTCAGGCTCAGAGAGGTAGCGACACCTACCCAAAGTTAGACCTGTACTTTAGGAAAATCACTTCAGTGCATGTGGAGTATGATTTGGAATGGGGAGAGACTTAAGGGATACCAATTAGGCAGCTATTGAACTAGTCCAAATCTGATGTGGTAAGGGCCTGAAATATAGTAGTGGTTAAGTGATAAAACAGAAGGGGATGGTTGCAAGATATGTAGAGGTAGAAATGACAGTATTTGGCAACTGATTAGACAAGTGGAATGTATGAGAATAAGGAGCTGATTATGATGTCCATCACTTGCAAAACAATTTCTTCTGGTGAACTGGATAACAAAAAATGAAATGCCCAGGTCATAGTCCCCCACTTCAGCCCTTCAAGAAGCTTTAGGGCCCTCCCCACCCCCTCCTGCTTTGGCCTGAGCTATTTCTTCCCACTGATTTCAAGTTCTTTAAAATGAAAGACTGAATGGCTAGAATACTGTCTCACTCAAAATACTGCCTTTCCTAGTGGAATGGTGGTAATCGACTGACCCCTCCCCTCTTCACTGCATCTTTCATCCATTCTTAAAGATAGACTTTTCAGGAGTAACTACCTCAAGAGTTCAGGAGTTACTTAGTCCCTCAGTAGGTGTCAACTGTTCAATGGGAGGTGTCCTCTGCAGTTTCTTGGAGAAAACTACTAGGGAAAGGGGTAGGAGGCCCAACTTCTGACCTGACTGGCCAGAAGACATTTCCTTGAGGTAGCTTTTCAGGCTGCTATACTTGGGGAAGAAACACAAAGCAGAAGGAGCAGGCAGAGGCCCAAGATGCAGGCTCCAGGTTGCCTAGGTGGCACAAGTGTTCAAAGCCAACATAAAGTGGGGAAGAAGGAAGGTGTCCTTACTCTACCCCTCACTAGAAGTTCCAGAAATTAACATGTCCTACTCTGGAGGGAGGAAGGAAGGAAGAAAGTAGGTTATGAAGTAGAGTCAATTTCTCTTAAAGTCTAAGTGGGCAGCATCCCCTCTCCCCCTCTGGCCAATCCTCATTGACACAAGCAGGCTTTACTGACATTGGACCAAGTTGCTTCTAAGTCATTCTGAAGCACCAAGTGCTTCAGCAGTTGGGGGCTGGAGGAGAGGGAATGTGTCTCAGTTGATTATCTACCCCCTTAAAATAAAATCCAAGAATTTTAAGAATTTCTTTAATCTTAGTACTTCTACTATTTGATCAATAAAATATTGACTGTACACTTATGGTGTACTAGGTACTTCCTTTTCCATTCATGTTCCATTGGTCATAGATGTCTTCTTGGAGTGATATAGAGTATTAGCAATCATCTAGTATTGAGGTTATGAAACTGGGAGATTATAAGAATGGTGGTATCTTTGACATAAATAGGGAAATTTAGAAAGGATAGGTTAAGCAGGAAGGGAAGAAAGTAATGAGTTTTGTTATGGATATGTTGAGTTTGAGATGTCTCTGGGACATCCAGTTTGAAATATGCAATAGGTAATTGGTGATGTGGGAGTGGATCTCAAGAGAGACTGAGGCTAGATATAGAGATCTCTAATCAACTGAAAAAAGATAATTAAACCCACGGGAGCTCTTATCAAGAGAGACAATATAGAGAAAGAAGAGAAGAAGACCCAGAACAGAGCCTTGGGGGATTCCCCTAATTAGAAAGCATGGTATTAATGATGAGCCAGCAATGGAGACTGAAGAGAGTTCTGAGAGACTTCTGTCTGAGAGATCGAAGTAGAAGATTAACCAGGAGAAAATAGTATCATGAAAACCCAGAGAGAAGAGAGTTTCCAAGAGGATAGAATAGTCAACAGTAACAGAGTGGTAAGTGGTCAAATGTAACAGAGACATCAAGAAGGAAGAGCAAGATAAAGATATCTACCCATGAGTGCCTCTTGGGCTGACCTAAATGTCAGGTCTACTCTAGTATAAGACCAAGCAATAAATTCATTCTATTGCCAATGGAGTCAACAACAAACCTATATGAGTTAGTCCTTGAACCACCCTGGTCTTCTAAAATATTTTCCCCAAGGCAATAATGACCTAGAGTGGGACTGTCTTCTAATTTTACTCTTTACCCATTGAATCCAGTTGTCAGACCCATACTTTCTGCTCAGTGACTAAGGTCAAAGGCTCTCTCTTGATCTCTTCAATGAGTTAAAAGCAAAGCCCCTGCCTGATCTTTTATGGGAACTTCGTTTGCAGGCAACATGAAGAATTACGTAAGATACCAGCTTTATAGCAACAACATTCCAAAGGCCAGTGGAACAGAGCAGACTTTCTTTGGGTAAAGTCATCAGCGTTGTTAATGATGATTATAGATCTTTACTGCCACCATGTGTCTGAGAGGCATGAGGAAGTCAGAAAATGGGAGAAAAGCCACAGAAGAGTTGGGAACAGTTTCTTTGTGGGGAATATAAACTCATGAGTCTTAATAGGGAGGTCCTTACTGGTTAATAATGGTCATTTAGCAATCCTTTCTGCATTTTAACTTTTATGCATGGAATGCTCATATAGTAGAGAAGCTACCTACTTATTTTAACTAAGTCAAGGATGGACATGGATCATTGCATCCATGAGATACATAGCAGATACAGCACTAGTCTTATAGTCAGGATAATCGGGGTTTGCATCTTGCCTCTGACTCATACTAAATATATGACCTTGGGTAATTCACTTAGCCTCTCAGTGCCCCAGGCAACTCTCTATATAACCACTGTGAGTTGTAGAAAAGATTCAGACTTAGTTTGGTAAAGAGAAGAACTCCTTGTTAGTGATGAAATCACAGGACAGTAAAAAAAAAATCATAAAGATAAAAGGCAGTGTGGCATCACTGATAGATAGAGGGTTTCTCTTGGAGTCAAAAAGGTCTGGGTTCAAGTACTGTGTCTGGCACATACTGCTTTGTGACTATAAAACTCTTCACCACTCATTGCCTCTAGGCAGTCCTCTAAGACTGTAAGTTACAGAGAGGCTGCTCATCTGTATTAGTGGAGGGAGTTTTCATACTGGGAGTATTATGAACTCCACACTGAAAAACTCACAGATCTGGACACCTTCTTCCTCCCACTCCTCACAAAAAAATAATCACTAAGACACTGATCTCTTTGCCGTTGCTTTCACAAGACACTCTGACACTCTGGGCATTTTCACTAGCTACCTTTTATATCTGGAATCCTCTCTCTCTCCTCGTCTTCACAACCCAGCTTCCCTAACTTCCTTCAGGTCCCCGCTAAAATCCCACCTTCTACAAAAAAACCTTTTCCAATACTTCTTATTTTTTTAATTTATTTTTTCTCAATTACCTGTTAAAACAATTTTTAACATTCATTTAAAAAAATTTTGAGTTCCAAATTCTCTCCCACCCTACCTTATCTTCCTCATCCTTGAGAAGGCAAGCAATTTGATATAGCTTATACCTGTGCAGTCACGCAAAACATTTCCATATTAGCCACACTGTAAAAGAAAACATAGAAAACTCCCCCCCAAAAAAACTCAACAAAAAAAATACAGTTTAAAAAAGCATGCTTTGATCTTTATTCAGACTCTCTCAATTCTTTCTCTGGAGGCAGATGACATTTTTCATCATAAATCCTTTAGAATTGTTTAGGATCATTGTATTGCTGAGGATAACTAAGTCATTCACAGTTGATCATCATATCATATTGTTGCCACAGTATACAATGTTTTCATGGTTCTGTTCATTTCACTTTGCATCAGTTCATGTAAATCCTTCCAGTTTTTTTTCCAAAAGCATCCTGCTCATTATTTCTTGTAGCACAATATATATTGTCCATAGCAATCATATACTATAACTTGTTCAGTCATTCCCCAATTGATGGGCATCCCCTTAATTTCCAATTCTTTGACACCACAAAATAAACTGCTATAAATATTTTTGTACATATAGGTTCTTTTCCTTTTCTTTAATTTCTTTGGGATATAGACCTAATAGTGGTATTGCTGGGTCAAACAAACAGATTTGTTGCCCTTTGAGCATAGTTCCAAATTGCTCTCCAGAATGGGTGAATCAGTTCACAAGTCCACCAATAGTACATGAGTGTCCCAATTTTTCCATATTCCCTCTAACATTTGTCATTTCCCTTTTCTGTCATATTAGCCAATCTGGTAGGTGTGAGGTTGTAGCTCAGAGTTGTTTTGCATTTCTCTAATCAATAGTGATTTAGAGCATTTTTCATATGACTATAGATAGCTTTGGTGTCTTCTTCTGAAAATTGCCTTCGACTATTTATCAATTGGGGAATGACTAGTATTCTTGTAAATTTGACTCAGTTCTCT